AACGGTGTGGGGGGCTGTGGTGCGGTGCCAGCAGGGGGGTCATATGAACGGTGTGGGGGCTGTGGTGCGGTGCCAGGGTGTTGGCAGAACCTTTATGCCGTAGCGTAAAATGGTTTAGTGTTAGTTAGTGTTTCTCAACTCCAGTCCTGCGGAAACCTATGACCGCACGTTTTTTTCTCCCAGCCCAGCTCCAACACACTTGATTCAACTAATCAACACTTGTCGACTTTGATCTAGTGTAATAAATATTTCTGAAGGGTATTGTTTATAATTCTTATGAGTCATTTGTAGGCACTGAAACTTTATGCAATGTCATAACTGTAATAACAATGTCATAACTGTAATAACAATGTCATAACTGAAATAACAGTGTTGTTAGTGCTACATTGATAGTGAATACTGCATTGTTGGGTTAGGAGCTTGCAAGAAAGGCATTTCACTGTACTTGTGCACGTGACATTAAAAACTTGAAACTGAAATAACAACGTCATAACTGTAATAACAATGTCATAACTGTAATAATAATGCCATAACTGTAATAACAATGTCTTAACTGGGGTGGCAGGTAGCTTAGTGGTTAAGAGCGTTGTGCCAGTAACCGAAAGGTCGCTGGTTCTAATCCCCGAGCCAACTAGGTGAAAAATCTGTCGATGTGCCCTTGAGCAAGGCACTTAACCCTAATTGCTCCTGTAAGTCGCTCTGGATAAGAGCGTCTGCTAAATGACGTAAATGTAAAAAAAAATGTAAATGTTAACTGAAACCAATATACTAAAGTAAGATAATGCAGGGAAAAACATCCAATAACATTGAAATCTAACAGAGTAACCTGACATATATTAATGTATCAGGTTATTCCTAAAGGTTGTAATGCCCCCTTAACTTAATCAGCTTTCCTGTCCACTTTTTTTTATCCCCCCCAGAGGACGTTCCTCTCTTTCCGGCCCTCTTCTACCCTTCCTTAACCTCTCTTATTGTCCTCTAAACGTTGATATATGAATTATGCGAGGCCATGATCCCCCGTCTCATCCCCGCTCTAGCTGGTCCTCTCCTTGTCCTCCTCAATCCCTATTACCAATGCATTAGGAAGGAGGGTCTCTCCTTTCAACCAGTGCCAACAGTCTCTCTCTCTCTCTCCCCTCCTATATATCGCGTCTCGCTATCTCCGCGCGCTCGCTCTCTCTCTCGCGGCTCTCGCTCTGCCGCGGCGCGCCCGAAAGACGCGGGGCCCGCTCGAGACGCATCGCGCGCGAGCGCGCTCTGGGCGCGCTCGGCTCGCGCGTTTCGTCTTCCCCTCTTCTTCCCTTTTTCTCTCTCTCTTCTTTCCTCTCTTCTCTTCCTTCTCTCTCTCCCCTCATTCAAATTAAATTTAAGGGCTTTATTTGCATGTTAACATTGCCAAAGCAAGTGAAGTAGATAGTAAACAAAAGTGAATCAAACAATAAATATTAACGTAAACATTACACTCAAAGTTCCAAAAGAATAAAGACATTTCAAATGTCATATTTTGTATAATACATTGTTTTTTAACAATGGAAATAGTTCAAGTACCCAAAAGGAAAATAAATAACATAAATAAAGGGTGTATTTAACAATGGTGTTTGTTCTTCAGGTTCCCTTTCTTGTGGCAACCCCGGTCACAAATCTGCTGCGTGATGGACACTGTGGGGATTTCACCCAATAGATAGGGGTTTTCAAAAATTGGGTTTTGTTTTTTAAAATTTTTTTGTGGATCTGTGAATCGTGAGGGAAAAATGTGTATTAAAAATTTGGGATAAAATTTGGGGGAGGTTAGAATGCAGCGTACTCATTTGGGCAGTGTCAAAGCCGTCCTCCTTTTAGCCAAGTTTGGGGGGCCTTTTTCCAAAAAAGGATGTCCTTTTTTTCTTTCTTTATTTTCCACTTCTTTCCCCTGTTTCTTTTCCCCTACCCTTTTTTTTTTTGCCCTTTTTTTTTTAAAAAAAAAAAAAATTTTTTTTTTTTTTTCTAAAAACAAAAAAAAAAAGGAAAATTTTAAAAATTTAAAGAAAAAAAAAAAAAAAATTTTAAAGAAAATTTTTTAAAACCAAAAAAAACCCCAAAAAAAGAAAAAAAAAAAAAAATTTTAAAAAAAAACCCAAAAAAAAAACATTTTTTTTAAAAAATTTTTTTTTTCCCCTTTTTTGTGGCAAAAACCAAATTTCAGGGGAAAAGGGGATTTAAATAGTGGGGATTTATAAAAAGGGTTTTTTTTTAATTTTGGGGTTTATTGGGGGGGGAAAAAGTGTTTTTTTAAAATTTGGTCATACATTTGGCAGGAGGTTAGGAAGTGCAGCTCAGTTTCCACCTCATTTTGTGGGCAGTGTGCACATAGCCTGTCTTCTCTTGAGAGCCAAGTCTGCCTACGGTGGCCTTTCTCAATAGCAAGGCTATGCTCACTGAGTCTGTACATAGTCAAAGCTTTCTTTAAGTTTGGGTCAGTCACAGTGGTCAGGTATTCTGCCACTGTGTACTCTCTGTTTAGGGCCAAATAGCCTGTGTCAAGTAATTCTTTTTTTGTTGTCTTATGATTTGGTTGGGTCTAATTGTGTTGTTGTCCTAGGGCTCTGTGGGGTCTGTTTGTGTTTGTGAACAGAGCCCCAGGACCAGCTTGCTTATGGGACTCTTCTCCAGGTTCAGTTCTCTCTGTAGGTGATGGCTTTGTTATGGAAAGTTTGGGAATCGCTTCCTTTTAAGTGGTTATAGAATTTAACGGCTCTTGTCTGGATTTTGATAATTAGTGGGTATCGGCCTAATTCTGCTCTGCATGCATTATTTTGTGTTTTTCGTTGTACACGGGGGATATTTTTGTAGAATTCTGCGTGCAGTCTCAATTTGTTGTTTGTCCCATTTTGTGAATTCTTGGTTGGTGAGCGGACCCCAGACCTCACAACCATAAAGGGAAATGTGTTCTATAACTGATTCAAGTATTTTTAGCCAGATCCTAATTGGGATGTTTAAATTTAGTGTTCCTTTTGATGGCATAGAAGGCCCTTCTTGCCTTGTCTCTCAGATTGTTCACAGCTTTATGGAAGTTAACTGTGGCGCTGATGTTTAGGCCGAGGTCTGTATAGTTTTTTGTGTGCTCTAGGGCAACGGTGTCTAGATGGAATTTGTATTTGTGGTCCTGGCAACTGGACCTTTTTTGGAACACCATTATTTTAGTCTTACAGATATTTATTGTCAGGGCCCAGGTCTGACAGAATCTGTGCAGAAGATCTAGCTCCAACCAAGGCCCTCCTTGGTTGGTGACAGAAGCACCAGATCATCAGCAAACAGTAGACATTTCATTTAAGATTTTAGTAGGGTGAGGCCGGGTGCTGCAGACTGTTCTAGTGCCCTCACCAATTCGTTGATATATATGTTGAAGAGGGTGGGACTTAAACTGCATCCCTGTCTCACCCCACGGCCCTGTGGAAAGAAATGTGTGTGTTTTTTGCCAATTTTAACCACACACTTCTTGTCTGTGTACATGGATTTTATAATGTCATATGTTTTCCCCCCAACACCACTTTCCATCAATTTGTATGGTAGACCCTCATGCCAAATTGAGTCAAAAGCTTTTTTGAAATCAACAAAGCATGAGAAGACTTTGCCTTTGTTTTGGTTTGTTTGTTTTTCAATTAGGGTGTGCAGGGTGAATACGTGGTCTGTCGTACGGTAATTTGGTAAAAAGCCAATTTGACATTTGCTCAGTACATTGTTTTCACTGAGGAAATGAACTAGTCTGCTGTTAATGATAATGCAGAGGATTTTCCCAAGGTTGCTGTTGACGTATATCCCACGGTAGTTATTGGGGTCAAATTTGTCTCCACTTTTGTGGATTCGGGTGATCAGTCCTTGGTTCCAAATATTGGGGAAGATGCCAGAGTTAAGGATGATGTTAAAGAGTTTAAGTATAGCCAATTGGAATTTGTGGTCTGTATATTTTATCATTTCATTGAGGATACTATCAATACCACAGGCCTTTTTGGTTTGGAGGGTTTGAATTTTGTCCTGTAGTTCATTCAATGTAATTGGAGAATCCAGTGGGTTCTGGTAGTCTTTAATAGATAATAATAATCTATAATAATCTATAATAATAATCTATAATAATCTATAATAATAATCTATAATAATATAATAATAGTTGATTCTAAGATTTGCATTTGATCATGTATATTTTTTTGTTGTTCGTTCTTTGTCATAGAGCCAAAAAGATTGGAGAAGTGGTTTACCCATACATCTCCGTTCTTCATCAAACCATTTGTCATTGTTGTTACTTTTCTTTGGTTTTCTGTTAGAGATGTTAAGATTTGATAGGGAAGCTGAGAGGTCAAATATACTGTTTAGGTTTTCTACTGCCAAGTTTACACCTTCACTATTACAGTGGATCGTTTTGTCCAGGAAGTTGTCTAAAAGGGTATTGAATTTGTTGTGACCGTAATTTTTGTTTTTGGGTATGGTTTCACAACACTACTTTACTTCAAGTCTATAGCATTTCTTAACTATATATTCAGTTTTCTTTGGCTTTGATGCCTCAGTATTTGAGTTTGTAGATCTGTTCAAGTAGACGTGTGTTGATTTGCTGGTATGATAGGGGTGTCAGTGGGTGGAATGAACGCTCTGGAGAGACTCGGGTTGAGGTCAGTGATAAAGTAGTAGACAGTACTACTGCAAAGAATTGAGCATAGGTGTAAAATACAATAGGAGGAAAAGAAAAGCTACCATGCTAATATCTCTAGATCGTGAGAGAGAGAGAGGCGCGCGCGCCGAGAGAGAGAGAGAGAGATCGAAGAAGAGAGCGCGAGAGTGCGAGGCGAGCAGCGCGAGAGCGGATCAGCTCGCGTAGACGATGCTCGCGAGCTCCTGTATCTCTCTCTATCTCTCTATCTCTCTCTCCTCTCCTTCTCTCTCTCTTCTCTCTCTCTCTCTCTCTCTCTCTCCTCCCCACAATACACCACACATTGGACTTTCACCCCAATGACCAAAGCCAGGTTTTTTAATCACAGTGGCCCAACAACGCTGATTGTTATTGACTGAGCCTCCTGTGGTGTCGGACGGACCAATGACGGACAGATTAGTTCCATTAAGATCTGTCCTCCAGGAAGGAGAAAAGCAGAAGAAGAAGAAGAGAGAAAGAAGGGGGGGGATGGACAAAGAGGAGAGAGAGAGAGAGGACCGCTGGTGCTCTTCAATTGTGTTGGCTCTGTCCCCGACTCAAGTGACATTTACAGTGCCTAGTGAAAGTCACACCCCTTGCGCAGTCTTCACATTTTGTTGCCTTAAAATTGTATCTAAAATTGTATTACGTTAGATTTTCCCCCCACATTTTTTGGGGGTTTTCCCTGTTTTTTCCCCACACTTTTTAAAAATACAAAAACAACTAAATTGGATTTCTGTGTTCACAACAATGCCGTATCACAGTAAGCCACATGTGATGAGTTTGGCAAATCAAATGCCCACTTCTGGTGCCACTGGACAGCAAAAAGTAGGGAAGTTAACCTTTATTGATTGTAATTCTGGTAGTTAAGTATTGAGTTAGATTACATAGCTACCTCAATCATTATTTCAAATAATTCAGGTGAATTCACAGCAATTGCTAGTCAGCTAGCTAATGTAATTTAGCTAGCTAGCTAGCAGGCTCAGCTAAATACAATTCCCCCTACAGCCACATCTCATAGTCACATCATATGACTTGTAAATGAAAGAGGAATATAATAAAATTAATCTAATGGAATCTAATCTCCCCATTTAGAGTAATTCTGGCCCAGCACAGAAAGGTCCTTGTCCAGATAGTGAGACAAAGGCATTTCCTGACAGACCTGCTAACTTTCTTTGTTGTTACTTTCAAGGTTGGAACCAACCTACTGTGCTTCCAGCAGGCAGAGAGGCAAGAACCATTCATCCACCAGCTCAGGAACAAGCTGCACTATTCACAGCCCTGTGTAATATTCAATGTAATTACATTTACATTTACGTCATTTAGCAGACGCTCTTATCCAGAGCGACTTACAGGAGCAATTAGGGTTAAGTGCCTTGCTTAAGGGCACATCGACAGATTTTTCACCTAGTCGGCTCGGGGATTAGAACCAGCGACCTTTCGGTTACTGGCACAACGCTCTTACCCACTAAGCTACCTGCCGCCCCAGGTATTGCATTGCTGGACTTTTTTAAACAATGTATTTGTATTGTTTTATGTAGAAAATAAAAGGAGATGTATGGTTTAAACATGTTTTTATGTTGAAGCTGTTAGTGATAATTCTCTAAGTGTTAATACATTTGTGTTTACATTATTAAGCCTTTATGTGTGTCTTATGAATGATCAAAGGGGTCTGACCTTATAGTAAGTACAGCGTCTTGCGATATAGAGTCGTTATGGATGTGTTATGAATGATCAAAGGTGTCTCACTTCAAACTAAGTATTACAGGACACTACATAAAGAGTCAATAAATAGGTTGTAACCCTCTACGGGATCGGTGTCTCGTATACGGGACGGTTGAGCTAACGTGCGCTAATGTGATTAGCATGACTGTTGTAGGTGACAGCAAACTTTCCAGGACATAGACATGTCTTATATGGGCAGAAAGCTGAAATTCTTGTTAATCTAACTGCACTGTCCAATTTACAGTAGCTATTACAGTGAAAAAATACCATGCTATTGTTTGAGGATAGTGCACAACAACAAAAAACGTATCACGGCAACTGGTTTGATACATTCACCTCTGAAGGTAAATAATGTACTTACATTCAGGAATCTTGCTCTGATTTGTCATCCTAAGGGTCCCAGAGATAAAATGTAGCATAGTTTTGTTTGATAAAATCCATTTTTATATTCAAATGTAGGAACTGAGTTCTACAGTTTGAACCCCTGCTGTCTCTGGCTCCACACCCACCCCGCCCGGCGATCTAGATGTGTGAAAGTTAGTGTATAAGCTAATGATCCATCATGTATGACATTCCTGGGAATGTTCTCTATAGTTATGTACTTGAAAATGTATCAATTGACCAATTCGGCATATTTGGGCAGATTTGACACAAAATAGTCCAGTATTGCAATGCTTCACTGACTCTTTCTGAAACTTTGCACACACACTGCTGCCATCTAGTGGCCAACATCTAAATTGTGCCTAAACTGCAATATTATATTGGGGCCTTTCTCTTGTATTTCAAAGATGATATAAAAATAAAAAAAACATGTTTTTTGGTTTGTATTATCTTTTACCAGATCTAATGTGTTATATTCTCCTACATTAATTTCACATTTCCACAAACCTCAAAGTGTTTCCTTTCAAATGGTATCAAGAATATGCATATCTGCTTTAGGTCCTGAGCTACAGGCAGTTAGATTTGGGAATGTCATTTTAGGCGAAAATTGAAAAAAAGGGTCCGACCCTTAAAAGGTTTTGATGTCCTGCTGATTTAGGAAGGTTCTCTCATGATCCACAGGTTACTGTAGGGTGTGAGAGGTATTTAAATGGGTTGATGGACCTGCAAAGCTTGCTTGTGTGTTTGTTTCAGTGCCAAGATGATTTGGAGTAGTCCAGCCTGAGACTACCTCACCAGGTATTCCTCTTCTGTTCCCATGGAGACCAGGGCTTGATTACCACCTGTTACAATGGTGCCAACATTTTGTTTCTGTCCTTTCAGCGGGGGAGTGGGTGAATGTGTCAAAGACCAGATTGGGCCCTGCACCCCACGGTATGGCTTGTTATATTGTTACTAAAGACCTGATTGGACCCAGCACCCCACGGTATGGCTTGTTATATTGTTGTCAAAGACCTGACTGGACCCAGCACCCCACGGTATGGCTTGTTATATTGTTGTCAAAGACCTGACTGGACCCAGCACCCCACGGTATGGCTTGTTATATTGTTACTAAAGACCTGACTGGACCCAGCACCCCACGGTATGGCTTGTTATATTGTTGTGTGCGTGTTTATGTACAGAGGAACGCGTGTTTCTTGGTGTGACGTCGTCGCCAGGCTATTGAACCTGGGCTATAAGCCTGGGATATCAACCATTCACAGTTGGCCTTCGTGGGAGTGACCATAGAATTCTATGGGAGTGGTCATACTGAGTGAAGTATTTGTCGTCAGGCTACGTCCTTTGCTAGCAGAAACATTTCCCCCTGGTTGTCACTAGTTAACACAGCCACAAAGTCATAATTATGGCTAAACCCCGCCCATTTCCACAATTTTTTCTTCTTAAAATTGGACACGCGTGTTGTGTGTGATGATAAGCATCTGCCTCTGATACCAAAGGTTGCAAGTTTAAATCCAGCTATAGAAAGTTGTTTTAGAGAAGTAATTTTTAAGCACATCCCAAACCTTTACCTTAACAATTCGGGGTTAATGCCTAACATTAAGATTTTCGGAGTTAACCCTTAACCTTAAACACTTTGAAATTTGATGTTTGCAGCAACTTCGAAATTTGATGTTTAAGAAACATGGCTTAACGTCTAATTCTGACGTGAGACTGTGAGAGCCGGTGGGGCATACAGGGCATGTTCTATATTAGAGGGTCAGGGTCGAGTGCGGGCCAAAGATTTTCACTTTATCACATATAGTCATGCGGTTGCGGGTGGGTTATTAGAAATAGCGGGTGGGTGTGGGTGAATAAAACAACTGACCCGCGCACCACCAACACACACACACACACACACACACACACAGACGCACGCGCACACACACACACACAGACGCACGCGCACACACACACACACACAGACGCACGCGCACCACCACCACACACAGACGCACACACACACACACAGACGCACGCGCACACACACACACACACAGACGCACGCGCACACAGACAGACGCACGCGCATGCACACACACACACACACACACACACACACACACACACACACACACACACACACACACACACACACACACACACACACACACACACACACACACAGACACACACACACACACAGACGCACACACACAGACACACACCACACACACACACACACACACACACACACACACACACACACACACACACACACACACACACACACACACACACACACACACACACACACACACACACACACACACACCCACCCACACAGACACACACACACACACACACACACACACACACAGACACACACACACAGACACACACACACACACACATACAAGGCTAACATCACCATCATACCCCAGCATATTTAGAGTGAGGGTGGCTTAATGCCCTGGGTAAACATGAATATTCACCACCACACGGTATGACTCCCCTAGCAACACGGTATGACTCCCCTAGCAACACGGTATGACTCCCCTAGCAACACGGTATGACTCCCCTAGCAACACGGTATGACTCCCCTAGCAACACGGTATGACTCCCCTAGCAACACGGTATGACTCCCCTAGCAACACGGTATGACTCCCCTAGCAACACGGTATGACTCCCCTAGCAACACGGTATGACTCCCCTAGCAACACGGTATGACTCCCCTAGCAACACGGTATGACTCCCCTAGCAACACGGTATGACTCCCCTAGCAACACGGTATGACTCCCCTAGCAACACGGTATGACTCCCCTAGCAACACGGTATGACTCTCCTAGCAACACGGTATGACTCTCCTAGCAACACGGTATGACTCCCCTACCGTCATTAATAATAAATAAAAATAAAATCCTCCATCTGTAGATGCTCTGTAGATCAGTAGCATTTCAACTACAGATGTAGGATCTTAATTTGAGCGAGTTTGCTACAGCTGGAACAGAATCCTGCAGCTACAGGAAATTTGAATTATTATGTGGATTATAATTAATGGGCATTTTTGTAGGGGTTGATGTATTTCTTGTAAGGAAAAAATCAAGTCTGAATTTATTTTTAAACATTCAAAGGTGTAAAACTTGCAATGATCATGAAATGAGGTCGTCTTACTTACTTGTATGTTGCTCTGGATTAGAGCGTCTGCTGACTAAAAAACAAAATAGAAATAAAAATGCCATTTAGCAGACACTTTTATCC